GTGTCGGTGACTTGGAATTGAGACACGTTCCGTCACTCGGAGTACGGAACGTACCTCGTTTCCCGTGCTCGGGCTAACTCCTATCCCAAGCACAATGCAATATGCATGATATGCATGAATGTAAACTAAGATACAACCTAACATGCACAATGTTATGAAATGGCATACACGATGCACGAGGTAACATGGCATACATAATGCACTAATATACAACCTAGCATACACAATGCTATGAAATAGAATGGCATACACAATGCAAAATGGACTTACACTAACACAAGTGGACCTCAGCCACACTCACATAAGAGGCCATCAGATGAAAACAAGACAACTCGAAATGCGTGCACACGTGCACGCAAACCGAGGACCGACCCTCAAGCGCCGAAATGCCACTCTAATGAGACATGGTAAAGACATGGAATATGATATGCAAACATGCAAAAATCAGTAGCAAAATGAGGGGCAAAACAGCCCCGAAACAAGGCGAAATGACACCCGATGCATGGAATTTCTCCCGAAATGCGAAACTAGGCACATGAAATGGCTTACAGCTATACAAAGCATGCATAATTTGAACATGAAGTATGAAGACAGAAGCTAGGAAACCCCAAAAAAAGCATGTTTACAGTTTAAAGCATGGCTAAACATGGAACACAAATGAGGCTAGATTAGCATACAAAAATGGGGCCAAGAGAGGGGTAATGAAGCAACTCATAAATTCTGGCCCCAAACAGAGAAGGGTTCTTCTACAATATTGACGAAGGGCCAAAAATATGATGTATTTCAGTTTATGACAAACCCCAAAAACAGATACAAGTATGCTCAAAATGCTATGCAAAATAATGGCACCAAGAGAGCTGTAACATGAAGTATAAAAAGGATGTCCCAAACAGACATAGACTCTCAATAAAACATGAAGAGAGGGTCAAAATAGGGCCATTTTTAGTTTGGACCAAGGTCCAAAAATAGAAGCTCAATAGGCTAATAAATCGTGCAAAAAATGGGGACCAAAGAGGGGGATAATGACAAGTGGCACATGGAGGTCCCAAACAGTGATGAGCCCTTCTTCAATGTTGAAGAAGGGCTCATGATCAGCCTATCTACATTTTACATCATGCTCCAAAACAGATCACACATAGGCAAAAAATACTATGCAAGACAGATGA